GTGAGCCACCGCGCCCGGCCAAGATGTTTTGAACCATTTTTAGAAGTTGTGAAGAACAGACTTCCAGAGATCTGAGTAAACGAGGGCGTCTCCAGCCAACGCCAGACTCCAGGATCCCGAGAGGAAACGTGGCCAGCGAACTCACAGAGCCACGACCTTGACCTTTTCTGAGGAGCAAACCCGCGAGCTCTCCTCCCGCCATGCGTTTCCAGCCAGAGATGCCCCCGCAGCCCTGTGACCGTGCCTGCCCTAAAGTCGCTGCTGAAAGAGGCTCTGGACCCCTGAGTTCACCCAGCTCCTGGGCGGGTGACCCCTTTCTGGGGAGGCTGTGGGTCCACACCAGGGCACCCACATTCCTACGACACCCCGGGGGCGGGTCTCAGGTGCCGGGTCCTGCAACGCCCTCTCAGATCTTCCCGCACAGAATCGGGGGTGGCCATTGCAGCACGGGTCCCTGTCACCCGATCACAAATGTGGGCCCCAATCTCCAGAAAGGACACCGGCTTCAGGAGCTCTGGTTTTGTGTGTGAGACCCAAGAGTGAGAACAGCGTCCCTGTATCCGTCTCCCGAATAAACCCGGCAAAACCAGAAACGGACAGGCCAGGCAGGCACCAGAGGCTGGAACCCCCCACGGTGGCCTGCGAGTCCCTGTTGTAAGTGACACTTAGAGAATATTTTCTGGACACCTCTGAGTTCAGGACCGTGAAGGCAAAGAACCAGAGGCGGGGGCCGTGTGGAGGCTGGTGAGGAACCTGCGCCTGTCCCGGATCTTTTCCGGGGGACCCGGGATCCCTCCTGTTATCCCGCCTCCGGCCCCAGCAGGAAAGTCCCCAGGGCTGCGACCCAGGGAAGGAGGGGCCGAGAGCTCACCAGCGGCTCCAGCTCCTTGGTGTCGATGAGGCCGAACTCCCTGACGAAGTAGTAGAAGTGCTTGTAGCAGGTGTTCACGTGCGCCTCGGAGCCCATCTGCGCGATGCGGTCGAAGTGGTGGATGTACACGTGCACAAACACGCGGAACAGCCGCGACAGAATCTTCCGCACGGCCTGCAGGAAGTTCTTGGGGAATGGCGTGCCTGGGGACGGGCGGGAGGGGCGCGGGGAGAGGTCAAGATGGATCCTTGGCCGCCCGGAGCGCTGGGATCACAGGCTGAGCCGCCGGGCCAGCCCCACCAAGCGCTTGGGCGGCATCTGCCTCGACTCTATGTACATGATCCCAAGGAGGGAGACATTTGCAGACATTTCTCTATACGGTGTCACAAACGAGCGTGCAGACACACGTTTGAGGAAGGTCATGGCAGCAATGTCTGCAGGACCCTGGGAAGGGCCAGGCCTGACAGTGGGATCAAAGAAACATCAGGTGCGACATGGCTCTCGCCCCAGGGAAGGATCTGAATGGATCGGGAGAAGGTGGCAGAGGGAACAAATGGCATTCCCAGGGCTCCCGCGGGCTGGGCCAGGCCCTGACCCGGGGCCTTCCCCAGTGAACTTCACCGTGAATGTTCTTGTTTCCACCCACCTCCCTTCTCTGTGTTTGGGACAAATTAATCCCCGAAGCCGCGCCCTTCCCTATGGAGCATTGCATGGCCTCAAGCACGTCGGTGCCTGTGCTTCGTCACCTTTAGGCTTCTCTGTGTGTCTGTGACACAGGCACAAGACACAGGCCCTGGGAGACCAACTGGGAAGGTGCGTTCCCCATCCGTGAGGACCCTGGGTTTCCTCCTCTGTCGCTGTGACAGGAGGAAAGGATGAACACAAGGCATGCTTTACTCTCGAGACGCACCCTAACAATCGTCCACAAACCGATGTTTGTGGGATGTCCCTGAAAAACCTCTAAAAGTCACCAGGTGCGTCGCAAACACTGAGTGGGGTGGGGATTCCTGCCCAGGGGTGGTAATCCTGATGGACTGTGGATCTGTGACAGTGTGACAAAGCCGACAGCGCCCAGCACCAGGCCTGCAAGGGACTCTGGGCTTGATGCTGACACCACCCTTCTCCCCTAGGATGGGGGTGAGGGTGACAGGAGCCCCCAAGAATGAGCCAGGGTGAAGGACCAGCTCATTTTGTTTTTTGAGACAAGGTCTCACTCTGTCGCCTGGGCTGGAGTGCAGTGGCGTCATCACGGCTCACTGCAGCCTCCAACTCCTGGGCTCAAGTGATCCTCCTGCCTCAGCCTCCCACAGTGCTGATCACAGGCGAGCGCCACCGCGCCTGGCCAAGGAAGAGCTACTGAAAGCACCCAGCTTAGGCGAAGGATTCAGAAACAGAATCTTTGAGGGCTTCGTTGCCCACACCTGTGATGATGCCCTCACACGGGGGTGCAGACTGCAGCCTGAGGGCCAAACCCGGCCTGTTGTACAAATGAAGTTTTATTGGCACAGCCGTGCCCTTGTTCACACACTGTCCACACCCACGGTTCCTGCCAAGGTTATCCTCTGCTCTTCTTGATACCACGGCAAGAACTGACATTCCACGTGTGGGGAGCTGACCAGAAGTGCTTGGGGTCCTTCCTGCTCTGAAGTTCTCGGATTTGGACCCCTCAGGAGCTGGGTGGGACATCAGGGGGTCCCAGCAAGTCCAAGGTCAGAACCCCAGGGAGTGTGGGCACACAGACCCTACCCAGACCGGATCTCGGGGGTTGGGGGACCCAGGAATCTCTACTTTGGGAAAAAGCCGATTCTGGGACACCCAGTTTCCAGATGGGCAGCTGAGAGCCCCCTGTCAGCGTCCGGCCCCACCCACCAAACAGACGTAGGTGAGGCCACAGCGGCAAGAACCCGGCCCAGGGTGTGCAGCTGTCAAGTGTCCACAGGCTGGGACCCCAGGCCCCGAGCGCGTCCAGGACGCTTCCACCCTGTAGGTTCCCAGGGCCGCCACGCTGACTCCAATGGTTACAGTGAGAGAGACCCCCAAACACACCCTGCGCCTGCCATCATGACCACCACAAACGCGGGGGCTTAAAACAGCACACGCCTCCGCTCCCTGTTCTGGGGGCCAGGAGTCCACACCCGCCCACTGGGCCACACCCACTTGTGGGCAGCGCCAGCCCCTCCCGGAGGCTCCAGGGAGAGCCGTGCGTGCGACTCACCGACGTTGGTGGGGAACAGGTCCTCGTTGTTGATCTGCACCTCGATCCAGTCCATGAGCAGGTCCATGTACCGCGGCGCGGACAGCGCTGTGGGCTTGCGGAACCTGTGCTCGTCCTGCCAGCGGTACTCGTACTTGGGGCCCCCCGACATGACCGGGCAGGACTCCTCCGTGCAGCCGTCGCTGATGGTGCCATAGATGAGGTTGACGCGGTTGAAGAAGTCCACCACGTGCACGGCCACCCAGTCGTTGAGGTCCTCGCCCGGGGGCAGCTGCACCGCCAGCCTCAGGTCCAGACCCGCGTTCAGCGACGCCTGCGCCTTCTTGTGCAGCTCGAAGCGCTGGGTGCCCGGCTCGAACTTGCGCTTGGGGCGGAAGGTCTTGTCCTTGTTGAAGACTTGCTTCAGGAAGGGGTTGGACATCCTGGTGGCACCTGCTGCCTCACGACGCTTCCTAGGAGAGGTCTCGGCGGGCAGGCTCCTGAGAGGCTACTCCCAGAGATCTGAAACAAGAGAGGCAGTAACTGTGACCTGCCCAGGTGACAGGGTTCCCTGGAAACTCTGTTCTGCAGGTGACAACGGGCCGGATTTGGAACGTTCTCCAGGACTTCCGGTTTCAAAGCATTTCACCAGAAGGTGTCAGTTTCTCAGAGGATAAAACCTCCACGTGGATGCTCCAGAGCAGAAGGCGCCAACAGCCGGGGCCTGAGTGACCCAGAGTGGCCGCGTACTTCCCCCGAGCCTGGCCCAGATGCTCTGAGCACCCTGGGATGCCACAGTGGTCACAGGTGAGCGCAGCAGCTGAACTGTGGCCTCCACAAAGGGACGTTCCTGTCCTGATGCCTGGAACCTGTGCATGTGGCCTGAGGTTGAAATGGGGTCTTACGATGATGTCACCCTGGCTTATGTGCGTGGGCCTAAGGCCAGGGACAAGTGTCCTCACGGGGACAGAAGAGGAGAGACATGCACAGGGGACATGGAGGTAGGGCTTGGGGTGATGTGTCCAGAAGCCATGGGATGCCAGGACGGCAGCAGCCCCCAGAGCTGGGAGAGGCCTGGGCTGACTCTCCCTCAGAGCCTCAAGGAGAGCCAGCCCTGCCCTTGGCTTCCGGCCTCCAGATTTGGACGAGGGAGAAGTGCTGTTGCGTCTGTGTCCTGTGACCGTGTGTAAACCGCAGTCACTGGGTCAGGGCCCCTAAACCACTGTGACCTCGTCTTCACCTAATTACATCTGCAAAGACCCTACTTCCAAACAAGGTCACTTGATGGGTTCCAGGTGGACATGACTCTTGGGGGGATACTATTCTCCCCAGTGCATCATCTAAATGAAGACACCAGCCGGGGGCGGTGGTGGCGCCTGTGGTCCCAGCTACTTGGGAGGCTGAGGCAGGAGGATCCCTTGAGCCCAGGAGTGGGAGGCTGCAGTGAGCTGTGATGACGTCACTGTACTCCAGCCTGGGTGACAGAGCCAGGCCTTATCTCTAAAAAAAAAGAAAAAAACCCAAAACAAACAACTAACAAACATAAACCTGCTCAAGCGACTCTAAGTCTTGTCGGTGCCTGCGTGGTAGCTTGGCAGCAGCCCGCTGCTGCCCTGGACGGGGCCCTGGCTCTCCTGCCCTCTCCCCTCAAGACTCCTGTGTGCTGAGCGGGGACAGTGACTGATTCCAATGCACACTGGGAAGTGAGGGGACGACATGATCCCACAGTGCACAGGTGACTGGCTCACACTCACATCTGGTCCCTGTGTCACCGCCCCCTCATGACTGTCACTGCTAGGACAACGGCCCAGTGGCCCTGTGCCTTGTCCTCCGTTTGCAGCAGAGCAGGCCGTGTCCTCCCATGACGTGCACCTGGCCGTGACAGGGGCAAGGCCCGGGTGGGGCCTGGAAGAGGAAGTGCGGAAAGGGGAAGTGTCGCAAAGCAGGGTGGGGGAGGTGGAACCCATGGTGGCTGCGCCCACCCCCAGGCCTGGCAGTGCCGCGGTGCTGGGCTCTGCGCCACCCACCCGAGCGTAACAACTGTTTACAATGTTATAATAAACCATACCACTGTTTTTTGTTTATTTTTTGCTTAAACTGCTGGAGTTAGTTTCTCTACCTGTGGCCAGTGAGTCTTGTCCTGTGCCCATGTCTCTAGACCTAGAGCTGGGTCACAAGAGTCTCCCGTGGCTGCTGTGACAAACTCACAAATTAGGGGCTTAAATGAACACAAATTTATCATTAGAAAGGAGGCAGAGAGGCTGGAAGATGCTCCACTGCTGGCTCTGGAGAGGGAGGAAGGGCCCCGAGCCGAGGGACGCCGGTGGCCGCTGGATGCTGGGAAAGGCGGGAGACGGTTCTGCCCTGGAGCCCCCAGGAGGGACCGGCCCTGCCACACCTTGACACGAGGCCATGTCAGATTTCTGACCCCAGAACTGTGAGATGACAAATGTTTTAAGCCCCTTAGACTGTGGCATCACCAGGAGACACACAGAAGAGCAAATAGTAAGAGGCTACTCTGATACTCACGAGAGCCACAGTCAGAACAAGGCGACTGGCACCCTGAGCCTCCCTGTCTCTGGCTTCACCTGGGGCCCCGCCGCGCCTCTCGGCCATGGGTGTGGAGGGCAGACTCCGGGCAGCACAAACACGGACAGGCAGCCGGACATCGGAGCTGGGAGAGCTGCCATGCACAACGGGGCAGAAGAACAGGACACGCCCCGTGAGAGGAGGGGACCTCTTCTCCTGCACTAGGACGGTGATGACCCAGAAGGACGGTGATCACAGAGTGGGTGAGGATGTGCAGACACCGGTCCCTCCCACGCGGCTGTTGGGAACGTGACGTGGTACAGCCGCTGGGGCAAGTGCCTCAGGGGTTGATCAGAGACACCGCCTGACCCAGCAATCCGCCCCCAAACCTGCATATCCAGTCCACAGCAGCTGAACGGGGAAACAGCCCAAGTGTCCCTGACAGATGGACGGACAAGGACAACGTGGTCCCTCGACACACTGGAGTATCACTCAGCCACGAAGAGGGATGAAGCTCTGACACAGGCCACAGTGTGGATGGACCTTGAGGACATCGTGCTCAGTGAGAGACGCCAGACACAGAAGGACACAAAATGTGTGACTCCGTTTGTATGAAATGTCCAGAACAGGCAGATCCACACAGACGGGACATGGATTCGTGGGTGCCAGGGGCTGGGGGAGGGGATGGGGAGTGACTGCTCATGGGGACAGGTGTCTTTCAGGGCAATGAAAGTTCTAAAATAGAATGCAGTGGTAGTTGCACAACTCTGTGAATGTTCTAGAAACACTGAAATGTACACTTTAAGTGGGTGCGTTACAGAGTACGTGATTTATAGCTCAGTAAAGCTAGTGCATACAAATGTGGTGCGCAGGCACCAGAAAGCACTACATCCGGCCGTCTCGGGCTCAAGCTTAGTCAAGGACCATCTTGCTCGCTGTGAAATGTGAGCACAACAGGAAAGTCTACAACATGACGGTGCGGGTCAGTGGTTTATCACAGAGGGAACCCCGGCTAAGGACTCCAGGAAAGCTGCTCGGGCAACCCCTGCTCAGGAAGGACACAGGTCCTCCCCACCGCGCGTGCTGACCAGAAAGGCCTGCACGTCCCCAGAGCCACTGGGGGCCCAGGGCACCATTACTTCCTGCCACCTGCGTGAACACCCGCTAAGTGCTTCACACTGTCCTGAAAGGAAAAGGCTGTCTCCACTTCACAGCAGAAAAACCGAGGCCCAGACAGGTCTCAGTTTACTAACGAGAAACAGAGCGGCGGTGCGCAGCCCCCAGGACCCAGGCGGGGCAGAGCTGGCCCTGGGCCTCGCCTACTTCCCCCTTCACTTCTGGGCCCCTTCGCGATCCTGTCAGACTTTCTAACACAACAGACATCACAACACAAAGAAAAACTCCACCCGCCACCGCCCAGTTGCTGATTTGGGGACCTCTCCAGTGCCAGGGCTAGGGGCTGGCCCCAACAATGCCACCTGCTCAGGGCAGGTGGGTAGGGCCTTCCAGGGGCCTCCGAGGCCTCTGCTGACAAGGCCACCCTGGGCAGACTCCAGCCTCGGCAGGAGACCCCTGCCTGGGCCGAGCCTCGCAGAGACATGGCTGTCTCTACGGCCTTGGCTTGTCTCTTTCTACATCCTGATGCCCGTCTACCACATGTCCACCAGGACCGTTCCAGAAAACGGGACCAGGGTGGCTGACGGGGCTTACAAAGGTCTCGCTTGCGTTTCTGTCTCCTCTCGCAAAGTGGGAGGATTGTTTTTTAAGTGAAAATAATTATTTTCCGAAAAACTTCCTGGACGAGTAGAATTCCTGCCTCAAGTAGACAGTTTTCTATCAGCAACAAAGACATGCGGAGTGGCCGGGGCAGCCCCTAGGTGACATCCTCCCCGTCGCTGTCCCCTATGCCCTACTCACCGTGCCTGGGGCTCCGTTCTCTCTGCTCCGATCAGAGCCGTCCAGCGTCTGTGTGGGGACAATGCCGCCACGAGCTTCTCAGAATCCAATGCCACACCTTGTGGTTCCCCTGGTCTTCCCACGGAGGAGATGCCAATGGCCCTTGGAAACTTCTAAAGGGACAGAAGGTAAGATAAATTCCCCCACCCCAACTCACACTTTTTTTTCTGAAAACACAGCGCGACACAGCATAGTTCCTCTAAACGATCAACTGGGCTGACCCCTCCCTGGGCGAGGTGCGGCAGCAGCTCAGGGCCCACAGTCACCCACTTCCTTCCGGAGGATTCCACATCCTGCCACCGCCTCGGGGACTGCTACCCCAGAGCGCAAGAGAGACAAGCCCTGAGCTCAGAAGTCGGCTTGTTTGTTCTAGATCAGTGTGCAACACTGGCTCCCCTCCTGGCAGCCCCAATATTTGGCTGGAAGATGCTCAGAGCCCAGAATCTGTCCTGTGAAAAAAGGCAGAGGCTGGGCACGGTGGCTCACACCTGTAATCTCAGCACTCTGCGAGGCCAAGGTGGGAGGATCACTTGAGCTCAGGAGTTCGAGACCAGTCTGAGGAAGAGCAAGACCCCGTCTCTACTAAAAATAGAAAAATTAGCCGGGGTCGTGGCGCCTGTTGTCCCAGCCAAGGCAGGAAGATCACTTGAGCCCAGGAGTTGGAGGCTACAGTGAACTATGATGACATCACTGCACTCCAGCCTGGGTGACAGAGCGAGACTCTGTCTCAAAAAAAAAAAAGAAAAAAGGCCGTGCCCAGACCTGTCTTCCATATCCTAAATGCTTATTTTCAAATATCACAACTGTTCCTGGTGCTGAAAGGCTGTCCTCAACCCTGCAGGACCCGCAGGAGGACGGCTGTGGGTTCCCCAAATCCCACGTGCGTGTCCTGCTGTTGTTTTGTGTGCCCATCTTTCTTTACTGGGTGAAGTTCTCCAACTTCTGCCGTACGAGGGCAGACAGGCGGGAAGTGAGGCACCGGGCCAGGGGCTGCTGCGGGGTCAGCATAGTTTTCTAGCCCTCCTGTGAATCTTTTCTTTTTTTTAGATTGAGATAAAATTCACGTACTGCAAATTTCAACCTTTTAAAGCAGACAGTTAAGTGGGTCTTAGTATGTTGAGAGTTATACATCCACCACCGCTATCTAAATCCACGATGTTGTCATCACCTCAAAAGGAAACCCAGACCCCATCAGGAGTCACTCCCCAAGTCCCCTATTGTGAGTTGAACTGTGTTCCCCAAAAAGATAACTTCTAGTCCTAAGCCCCGGACCTGTGAATGGGAATTTCTTTGGGAAAAGGGCCTTTGCAGATGTCGTTGGTGAAGACAAGGTGCTAAGTAGACCTGGAGCAGGGGGTCGCTGGTCCACTGACTGGTGTCCTTATAAGGTGACAGAAATGTGGACACAGACACACAGAGGGGACAGCCTGGAGAAGATGCAGGCAGAGACTGGAGTGACGTGGCCACAAGCCAAGGGACGCCTGGAGCCCCCAGAAGCTGGGAGAGGCGGGAAGGACCCTCCCATGGTGCCTTTGAGGGCTCAGTGTGCACAGCAAGTGAAGAGGAGGACATGTGCTTGAACCCGAGGCTCCCACTGCTAATGCCCCTGATCCACCCGGACAGAGGAAGGGGTGCTCGTTCCGCACCTCGCAGGACTCTGACTCTGTCTCCCCTGGCCTCGTTCTGCCATGGGGGCAGGTACACACACATCCTCTGACAAGATCGTGTCGGCTGGGGGACGGTTACAGAGAAATGTGAGATGTCATCAAAGCCTAAGGTGCCCCTAACGAGTTTCCAGAGACCCCAGGGAGACTGAACTTGGCACAAGGCCCAAGTGTCAGGGACAAGAAGACGTGAGGAAGGGCACCCCCACACCTGTCCATACGCCGCGCCGCAGTCCTCGCTGCGGAAGTTCCCCGGGACGCTGGGGCCCAGGGGTCTGGGCTTGACCTCACGCTGCCTTCTCGGTCCCTAGACACTTCCTGTCTGAAAGGGGAAGGGGTGTTGGGGGAGGAACTGCCGCTCTGAGTCAGTCCAGGGGAAGCCGGGTGACCCACTCAGGGTCTCGCTTCACTTGGGTTGCTGCAAAGAGCTCTCAGCGACACTGTGGGTTTCACAGGGGTGATTCAGCCCCTGCAGGGGACACTGGGCCATGTCTGGGACGTCTGTGGTCATCACAACTGGGGGTGCTCCTGGCATGGGGTGGGTGGAGGCAGGGACGCTGCTCAGCACCTGCAGTGCCCAAGACGGCCCCACCCGGGAGAGTGACCCAGGCCCAACACAGACCCAGTGTCCTCAGGGCTGAGGGGGAAAAGCTTGTTCTGCAAGTGGCAGAGCAGGACCAGGCCCAAGTGCTTTGGTCCGTTTGCCTCCTTTCCCTCTTTAATGAGTAGTACTTTAAATTGCCAGCCTTGCTACTAGCTAGTAGGCAGCGACTGTGGCTGTCAGAGGTGCTGACACGTTCCGTCTCCTCCCATCTCTGTTCTTTCCTGCAGCTCGCTGTGAAGGCACCAACCTACTCGTCAGAAACGAAGCCGGGCGGGGCGCAGCCTCCCGTCTGGAGAGGCTGCCTGAGGGTGGACAAGGACTCTCCTTCCTGCTAAGTGACATGACAACCGCTGACTCTCAGCCTGGAGTGGCTGCTTGCAGAGCTTCTGCTGTTATTAATAAACCGACCTAACATGTGCCGGGGCCCTGGCAGGAAAGCTCACGGAACTCACCATTTCCTGGAAGGCGGGAGGGACCGGCTCATCCCGCGCGCCAGGAAGCGGTCTGCTGCCTCGCCAAGGGCAGGAATGACCCGGCCCAGTGTCCACGGTGCTGGGGGACCCTGGCCCAGCAGTAACAGCTCCCTACTCCCCAGTGAAACGTGACATTAAAACACAGCAACAACAAAAACACGTGTGTGATTTTAACATACGTTTTAAACAAAGAAACAAAATATAAGCTCTGTGTCAAGACAAGAAGAATGTAGAGGAAAAAGCCACAACTTGCGGGTGACGAAAGGGAGAGAAATCCAAGTGAGACTGACCCCGTGTGGCAAGGAGGCTGACAACCCCGAGACCAGGGCGCACGGCATCCAACAAAGTCATCCCACCCATCTGGCTGGAGGGAAAAGCCTTAAACCCGAGCCAGAACCTCCCGACCAGGAGGCGCTCTCTCCATCCCGGCGAAATGAGGCCGGCGTGCCTGAGACAGAGGCGCTCGTGTCCAGGGAGGGACACCCAGCATCCGCTACGTGGAAAAGTCAGTCGCAAAACAATGTGCACATCAGGCCTTTGTTGTTAAATAATAGCGAACAAAATAAAGATGAACTACTGTTTCCTCTGGAAGGTGAAACTCCCTTTGTGAACCTTTATGAGAAGCGTACATTTAGTTTTCCACTCTGGGTATGTAAGAAAAGTATAATAGTTCATTTGATAGAATCAAAAGAGAAAGGGAAGAGGTCGGGCGTGGCCCCCAGAAGGCATTGTGTGAAAGTCCCCGAGAAAGCAGAAGTGTCACCTTTCCTGGTGGGCAGCGGGGCACACACGGCACCACAGGCGCCGGGTTCTGAAGCCAGAGTACCTTTTCTGGTTAAGCCATTTGAGCTTCTAAATTCCAGGAAACAGGAACAGAGCTCCTCGGCTGGGGAATGTCTAAAACTTCCCAAAGTGAAAACCCCACTTCTCAGTCAGCGGCCTGGGGAATTCTCCTGAAATCTCCAATCTATGAGGCCCTCAAGGTGGGACAACAGCTCGCTGGAAGATGATTAATGGCTGAGTTTTCAAAGAACTCGGTGGCCTAGAACGTTTTTACATATAGAACAGACCTCATTGACATTGTTTATAGAACATGAAACGTTTACAGAGCGCAGGAACTAAAACGGCACTTTCACTGACCTCCTGACGGACTAAAATGATCCCTGATGCTTTTGCACGGTGAGAAAGAGAGGGTAACTCAGAAGCCAGTTTGCCAAAAACGGCCTTAAAAAAATATTCGGTTTGTCACAGTTACTTCGGGGCACCTGCTATGAGGACACTGCGGCAGGCTTTTCAAGAGATGCGAAGATATTAAAACACAGTCCCTTCCGACAGGGGGCTTCACATGAGGCTGTGTGTGGGGACAGGGTGGGGGACATGGGCGCTCTCTGTTCCTTCTGCTCAATTTTGCTATGAATCTAAAACTGCTCTTAAAAGTACTCTATTTAAAAACTGTAGCTGACACTAATTCATCCATCACTAAACACCAAGCATCTGGCCGAACCCTTTGAGAAACTCATCCCATTTAAGAAATAACTAAACACGGAAGGCAGAACTCGACGCATCCCGCAGCGTTTACTGAAAGCATAAATGCCCTGGAAACGCCGGGGTGCGCTGGGAGCACACAGGTAATGGGAGCTGCATAGGTAATGGGTGTAATTCCAAATTCTCTGGTAGCCACATCAAAAAGGAAAAAAAAAAAAGAAAAGAAAGAAAAAGAAAGGCAGGAAAAGAACCGGGTGAAACGACATGAAGGAGACACTCTGCCATCCCGGGTCTCGTGTGTATTTGCACTTAGAGCACGACCGGCTGCGGCGGGGGCCGGCTCAGCTCTAGAGTTAAAGAGAAACACTGACCTGCGGAAGGTGGGGATGCTGGGAAGGCTGCGATGGGACAAGTGTCCTTTGAGGTGGTCGCCTGAGTCGTACAGACACCCGGCAACACACAGGGAGAACCAGGGACGGCAGCGTGCTGGACTTCCACTCCCCTTGTCCTCACTCATAACCAGCAGACTTGCTCTTGAGTTCTAATGACAGACCCCTGACAGCTGGGGTTAAAAGACTGGCTTCCAGGTCTCAAAGTGGCAACTGTGACAGGCTGGGGCTCCTGCTGCTTTCCATCGCCTCTGCAGGTGCGGGCCTGGGCCGTAAGGTCTGAGGGTCCTCCCCAGTGTTGCCTCCCTAAATCTCCTCCACTTCTGAAGCAAACTACCAGCGGGCCAGACACCAAACAAACAAACATTCGCCTCCCTACGCTAGAGCAGAGCTGGCCTGAAGAAGTGAATCCAGGAGAACAGAAAAGGAAAGTTGAGTTTTATCTCACAAGTCAAAACCCAGATCACCCCCCACACTGGGAGATCACTACTCGGTCCTTGAGACATCACTGGGGGCTCCAGGGCTCCAGTCTCATGGAGGCCACAGCAGCCACTCAGCTGAGCCCCAGCTCCTCTCTAAAATAGGGCTGCTCAAACCAGGTGTCACACCATAATCCCAGCACTTGGGGAGTCCGAGGCAGGAGGATCACTTGAGGCCAGGAGTTCAAGACCAGCCTGGGCAACATAGCAAGACTCCATCTCTACAAAAAATAAAAAAATTAGCCAGGTGTGGTGGTGCACGCCTGTAGTCACAGCTACTTAGGAGACTGAGGCTGGAGGATAGCTTGAGCCCAGGAGTTGGAGGCTGCAATGAGCTATGATGACACCATGGCACTCGAGCGTGGGTGACAAAGCAAGACCCTGTCTCTAAAAAATAAAATGGGGCTGCTCAGAGCCCCAGTGAACTCAAGATATGCAGGAAGTAAGGAGGAAGCACCTGGCGGGTTCTGGGTTTGGCCAGGCACTGCCCACGGCCTTTGCAGGGAGCAAGTCCCAGACCAGAAAGTACAGGTAGTCAGTGGCAGGTGAGATACGCACAAATTGCACGTGTCGCATTTCAGCATCTCCCCAACCGTCCACTTGGCGTATGGGGGGTTTACTGTATGTCAATTAAACGTAGATGAAACTGTTAAAGAAAGAAAGACGCAAAGAGGGAAAAGCAACGTGCACAGAGACCAGACTCTTCCCCCGGAACGGTCGGTCCCGCCCTGGGACTGTATGTATGTCCACGTCTCCCCTCCCTAGTCAGTGGCCCTATAAATCACACGGTGGTTTAACACCATCTCCAGCCCGACAGCGGCAGGGAGAGGGACTTCTCCGGCCAGGGAGCTGGGCGGGGTCGTCCTCTGTCGCCCCTCGCCCAGCCTGCCACGTGCTCAGGGGACGCTGTGGCGACCCGATTCCGCGTGGGTGTGGGGGGCCGGAAAGGGATTTTATCGAAACCAGGAGACTCGGGGCCCGCGAGAGGTTGATCAGCGGACCGAGGCTTGGTCCCAAACTAGCATTTGTAACTACAGCCCGACGCGGCCTCCACGCCGCCCGCCGCGTCGCCCCGGGGACCCACCCGGCTTCCCGGCCACCTGCCTGCCTCGTACCCGCTGGGACCCACCTGGCTCCGCTCGCCGCCTCCTCAGCGCCGGGACCGCCCTGCCTCAGCGCCCGCGGAGGGACACGGCGCGGAGGGACACGGCATGGAGGAACACGACCCGCTCGCCCCGCCCGTCCCGCCCGGCCGCACCCACGGGAGCCGGGCCTACTTTCCTTAAAGGGCCAGGGCCTCGCGGGAAAGCGGCGCTTGGAGATCCCCAGGCCCGTCCCTCGGGCTGTCCCCGCGGAGCCTCGTCCCGGAGGCCGCCATGGAGGCCGGACGCCCCGATGGGGCCGGGGCTGGGGCCCCCGGGCACGCTCTCGGTTGCGTGGCAACCGGGGCCCGGCCGTGGACGCCATTAGGGGGGGCCCCCGGGCACGCGGCCTGTGGGCGGAGCTTGCGCGGCTGTTGGGGAGCAGGGCGGGGCCTCAGGGGGAGGCGACCAAGGAGGAGGAGCTGGCGCCGGCGTTGGAGCATGCGTGGACGAGGCCGGTAGGGCAGAGCCAATCCGGAAGCAGAGTCTTCTCTGAGTGGCGGCGCGTGAGCGTGGCCTAGGGGCAGAATTGGCGGCGTCAGTTGTCCGTTGAGGACCGCTCGGCGGGACCAGATATGGCGGCGAAGACAGAGGTGGCCCGGAGCCCGAGGGGCGCTGTTGGTTGGTGCGCGGCCGAGGGGCGTGGCGCGAGGGCGCCGTAGGTTGGTGTACGGTCGAGGGGCGTGGCGCGAGGAGGCCGTTGGTTGATGCGCGGCCGAGGGGCGTGGCGCGGAGGGCGCCGTTGGTTGGTGTGCGGCCGAAAGGCGTGTCGCAGGGGCGCCGTTGGTTGGCCGGCGGCGGGCGGGAGCGGGGGCGGGCCATGGCGCTGCTGCTGTGCCTGGGCATGACGGCGGCGCTGGCCCGCGGCTGCCTGCACTGCCAGAACAACTTCTCGGATAAGTTCTCCTTCTACCGCCACCACGTGAACCTCAAGTCTTGGTGGGTGGGCGACATCCCCGTGTCAGGGGCGCTGCTCACCGACTGGAGCCAGGACACGATGAGGGAGCTGCACCTGGCCATCCCCGCGGAGATCAGTGAGCGCTGAGCCCAGCCCGGGGCGCCCGGCACGGGCCAGACCCCGGGCAGGCCGCTCACCTGGCTCCTCCTCGCCCGCAGCCCGGGAGAAGCTGGAGCAAGTGGCGAGAATCGTGTACCAGAAGATGGATCAACTGTACCAAGGGAAAATGTATTTCCCTGGTAAGGGAAGGGAAACTGAGGCAGGGACCGCGCACCCCAGGACACCCCCCACCTCCACCCGCCGCCTGCGCCTGACCTCCCTTCTCCCGCCTCCCCACCATCAGGGTATTTCCCCAATGAGCTGCGAGCCATCTTCCGGGAGCAGGTGCACCTCATCCAGAATGCTATCATCGAAAGTGAGCGAGGGGAGCCGCGGGGACCACGTGCACCAAGGGTGTCTCTGGTCCCCACAGGGCTTGAGCTCCTTCGAGGCTGGGGCCCCGGGAGCAGGGCTTGGCTGGGGCTGGAGTGATGTGAACAGACCACCTGGATAGGGCAGCCCCCAGGGAGGGACCCCTGTCATCCCATGGTCACCAGCACAGCCCAAAGGATACATGCCACCACCTCCCTGGCACCTGCCCAAACTAGTCCCTTGGAGGTGCCAGGAGTGTTGCTGCCACCTTCCCCAGGTGTGCACCATCCCATGCTGGGAGCCACCCTGGGGACCCCTTCCCTCTGGGTCATGGACACACACACATGAAACCAGGCAGCCGAGGGATGAGCCCTGAGCCTTTGGCAGGGCTAGGGGACCAGGGTGGGCCTGGTAAAACTGCGCTGTCCTGTCTTCCCACAGGCCGCATCGACTGTCAGCGTCACTGCGGTAAGTGAGCCTCCATCCAGGCTGAGGGGCGTGGTGCTGGCAGCAGCAGCTCAGGGCCCCAGAGGCTGAGGGAGCCTGCAGCCGCCTCGCCTGTGTTGCAGGCATTTTCCAGTATGAGACCATCTCCTGCAACAACTGCACAGACTCACACGTCGTCTGCTTCGGCTACAACTGCGAGTAGGGCTCAGTCACCAGCCCCTGCCTGTGCCGAGGACCCTCCTGTCCCTGGGATCCCAGGCTCTCCTAGGACAAGGCTCCTCTGCCTTCCACCTAGCTCCCGTCAGCTGGGGAGGGTGGGGTCTGGGGCTGGGGGACACACCACCTCCAAGCTCATGTTCCCACAGGTCCTTGGAGCAGTGGGAGGCAGCTGTGCAGGGCCTTCTCAGTTACATGTGAGTTGGGGTCTCTGGGTAGCAGCAAACTTGCCATCAGGGCTTGGAGAGGGGACACCAACCCACGCCACTTGGCCCCCCTGACTCCAAACCCACTGTCGTTGTAGAAGTGACTGGCACAAGTAAGTCCCCTCCTCAAACCCAACACGCCTTACCAGAGGCAGTGTGCGTGTGAGCACCCAGCCGGTGAGTACGTGCAGGAAGCTGGCTCCCACAGCTCCCATGGCCTAGGTGGGCCACAGGGAGGCACGACCTGGACCCAGCTGTCTGAGGCAGTGAAGAGGGCGGCCCCAGCCCTTCCTCCCTCAAAGGTCTCTGAACTCAGGTGGAGGGAGGGGGGATCATCCTGGCTAAAGGATCACCATAGAGCCTGGTCCCAGCCTGTTCCACGTGTGTGGCAGAAACGTGGCCAGAGCCCGGGAGGGCTCCCCACGGTGGATGGATGGGGTGCCCATGGAGGGGCCTGACTAGGCCTCATCTTGTCTTTCAGACAGGACACGAGCATGAGGTAAGGCAGCCCTGGCCCGGCCTTCCAGAGGGGAGGGAGGAGCAAGGGAGTGAGGGGAGAGGTGCCGTGGGTCCTCTGGTTCAGCAGGGAAAAGCAGGCACGGCTCTCTGTGCCTGGGACGTGCCAATGTCATCTCTGCAACCATGCCCATGTGTCATTTCATGAACAAACGACGCACTGCTGCTCCTCCTCTGGGCCTGGGACATACAGAACCACCCCAGCCTTGTGAGTGGGCCAGGGAAGGCGGGCCTCCGGGGTTGGGGTGCACCTAAGCCAGGGATTAAAGCCCACCCGCCAACATGCCACAGGCACCCCGAACACCCTTTCGCAGTCCCAGTCACAAGAGTGGCCCAACCTGAGAACAAGCAGGGCCTCCGCCACGCACAGGACCAACGCGTGTCCCAGCAGGGAGGAGAGGCCAGGGTCCCCCAGGCAAGACCCACTGGGAAGGCGGAGGGAGGCACAAGGGGGGCTGAGACACCCCCATCTCCCTGCAGCCTGGTATCCCCAAGCTTCACGTGCCTGGAGGCCCAACACCTGGCCAACCTGACCTTGGAGGGTGCCTCTGAGTGCCTGACTCAGCACTGACAGCCGGCGCAACGGGAGGCCAGGACTCCCCTGGACTGTCCCAGCCTGTCCCCTGGAGCAGGCTGAGCTAACTGCTGCGCCTGGTCCCCCTCTCACCCCCAACAGAGCCCAGCCGCCTGAGCCGGGAGGGAGGGGAAAGGAGTGGGTTTGTACGTAGCATCGGCACTTGGCAGGACCACAGAGCTATTCGATGGGATGATTAAAATACCTGATGTTTTTCGTGGAAGCACGGTTCTTACTTGGGGGGCTGAAGGAGCTGGCAGTGTGCTTCTGGGAAGGCCTGAAGGTCCCCAAATGACCTGGCAGACCAGCTGGTGCAGAGCCATGCTCTCCAGGGCCTCAGGTCCTGGGATGGAGACGTTCTACTGTGACCCACCTGGGCATACCAGGCTAGGCTCGCACAGGTGTACACAATGGGGGGGGTCCTTCATGAAAGATGAGGCTGCAGTTTGGTGGCAACCGGGGCCAGATGCACCCAAGGCAAAGGGATGCAGGGCCCATGGGCTCTGCCCCCTCCATCCTCTGTGGCCAGGACCACAGCTACCCGTCAGCTGAGTGGTCCCAGACACAGATGGGAGGGGAAGCCAAGAACCCCGTGTGCATGTCTGTGCAGCCACGCGGTGCAATGGATCTGAGCACCCTTGCGAGGCCCGTTTTCACTCATGTGACCTCAGCCTGCGGCCTCCCCTGCGGCCGCTGCATGCACGCGAACATCTGTGTACAGGTCGGGAGTGGCACCCAGGAAGGCTCTGGGGCGCCCTTATAGACCACCCATCATCAGAGCCAAACGTGGCGTGTCAGGGGGACTAAGGGGATGTTGGGGGTCTGTCAGGAGCCCACCCCCGAGTGTCACAGCAGGCCGCCAACCGAGTCCTAGCTGTTACTGACACTAAGTGCTTCCTCTTGGGCCCTTCAGAGGGACACCAGCGGCTGGGGGCAGGGGAGAGGCCTGTGGCTGCTGTATCCAGGGCATAACATTGCAGAGGGGACATGGGGGGGGCCCTGAGCCAGGGCTGGGTCCAGGGCCTCATCTGGGTTGGCACACCCCACCCTCCCACTTTCGAGTTTATACCCAAGCAGACTGTCCGCTATCTACATGGCGTAAGGTGGAAGCCAGGCAACCTGACACAGGCAGGGCTGGTTGGTCTCCCGCCTCTGTCCCCACAGCCCTGAGCAATGCCTGGTTTCGGCCCTGCGGTGCCCCAAGGTCCCAGGAGCCTGGATGGCGCACTGGGGACCAAGGTCACCTCAGGAGATGTGAGCCAAGGGTGGCTCAGTCCCTGTAGTGCCTGTGACCCCAGCAAGGGCAGGAGACCCCACGTGGAAATGTCTGTTTTGCAGCTTTATTGGATCATCTTGACACAAAATCATTACAGCAGCATGATACGTCTCTCTCTTCTTTATATGGGAATGTCGATAGCAAATAAATTCTTATGTAACACATCATACAATTTCAAAATTCTAGAATCACTGCACGGGATTCTGTAATAGATTATTCTACATGCTAAAATGACAGTTTTCATCAAAAGGAAAAGTTAAAATGTCATGGAGGGCCATCATCTCTGAAGAACGTCCAGTCTCAGCCCTAGCGGCCGCCTGGGGAGTGGGCAGGTGAGGTCCCCTGCCCTGGGGCTGCTCTGCCCGAGGTGCCAGCTGGAGTTTCAGTCCCCACGCACGTCCTCCACCGTCCAACCTGGACTCTCCCGGCAGCAGTGGGACAATGCCGGGAGGAGCCCTGCAGTGTGCGCGGCAGGGAGCAGAGGGCACTCGGGATCGCACAACGCCACCACTCACCCAACCCAAGCCCAGAGAGACACATTTCTGTCGACGGGGAAGAAAGGAAACAGACAGGCCCAGCCCTGTCCCCTCGGTGGTGCTGACTGCAGCCCTCCTGGGCGCCTGCAGCCCCTCTCTGCCTGCAGCCTGGCCCGTGGCCCAGGGTCCTGCAGACCACGTTCCCACCAGGGGTTCTGGGAAGAAGGGCCTCTGTGACAGCTGGCCCACCCTTCACCCCGTGCAGAACCGCTGGTGAGGATGTCGGGGGACAGAAGCCGCCGGAGAGGAAGAGGTGGGGGAAGACAGGAGATGGGGCCACATCAGCTCCCCTGCCATGCACCCCTCACCCTGGTGCCTGCTAGGCCCTGGCCGATGGTGGGCACACTCGCTCCCCAGGCTGCGCCTGTGACCACATTCAAGGACCCGGCCTCCAGTGTGGGGCGGGGCACGGAGCAGGTGGGGAGCCTCTGCTGGTCTGGGGACTGGAACAGGGCTTCTTGCCAAAGAGTGGGGAGAGTCCAGGTGACAAGGATGGCCAAATAAATCAATGCGATACACAACCTCCATGTCTAAACAGCAGACGACGGTGGAGTTAAATTAACGCTCGGGCTTGGGTACAGTACACACGACACAGGAGTGGCGAGACACGTGGACCTGCGGGGCCACTGGTGCCTGCTCTGCGACGGGCTCCCGGGTGGGGCTCGCAGGCAGCTCAGCACGTGGCCAGCGTGGCCTTCATCTCCTCCAGCACGTTGCTCAGCAGGGTCGCGTCGCTGCACTTCCCGTCCACTGACACGGAGTTCTCCCCCTGCGCCAGGGAGAGAGACAGGCATTCACAAAACTGCACATACGGCCTTGGGACCTCCCGTGCTGTGCTTTTAATCCTGCAAAATATTTCCTGGAGCTGGGTGGCGGTGGTGGCTGCATAGCACCATGAATGTACCAAATGCCACCAAACTGTGAGCACTTAAAAACAGTTAAGATGGTAACTTCCATGTGTTTCATCATAAAAAAAAAAAAAAATCAGAAAAAATCACTGAAAACTTCCCAAATGTTAAGAAAGACATAAACACAGGGATTCAAGAAGTTCAGCAAACTCCAAAAGGAGTAAACCCAAAGGAATCCACACTCAGACTCATCAAAAAGTGCTGAAAAATAAAGACAAAAATTTTACCAACAGCCAGAGAAAAACGGTACATTCCTTGTAGAAAGAACAATTGTTCAGATGACTACAGGTTTCTCACCAGAAACCACGGATGCCGAGGGGAAGTGGCACGGCGTTGTTAAAGTACAGAAAGAGACCTGTTCAGCCAGAATTCTATATCCAGCAAACGCGCTGAGGAATGAAGGCAGAATAACAGCCGCGTGAGCGACAACCGAGAAGCAGCTGCTGGGAGATCTGCTCTAAAAGAATCACTAACAGATGTTCTTCAGACAGGAGGGAATGAGCCAAAAGAAAAGTGGAACACTAGGAATTAAAACAAAACAGAAATGGGCCGGGCGCGGTGGCTCACGCCTATAATCCCAGCACTCTGGGAAGCCAACGTGGGTGGATCGCTCAAGGTCAAGGAGCGACCTTAACCGGGCATGGTGGCGCATGCCTGTAGTCCCAGCTACTTGGGAGGCTGAGGCAGGAGGATCGCTTGAGCCCAGGAGTCTGAGGTTGCTGTGAGCTAGGCTGATGCCACGGCACTCTAGCCCGGGCAACAGAGTGATACTCTGCCTCAAAAAAAAAATAAAAAAAAATAAAAATAAACAAAACAGAAATGATAACCATGTGTGCAGATACAATAGACTATTCTTCTCCTCTTTAGTTCTTCAGAGTGTGTCTGAGGACTGAAAGCCAAACGATCACACGTGGGATGGAGTTTTTCACGAATGTGAACACAGTCGTGTGACAGCCAGGACAGACAAGGGCAGAGGTGAGCGGCCTGACGGGTGCGAGGATTTCACATCCCACTTGAAGGGTAAAATATTCGTCCAAGTAGACTATGCAAAGCTGAGGGCGTACAGTGGAATCCCTGGACACCCATGCACACAAAGTACAGAGAGGATCAAAAACACAACAGACGTTACAAACGAAAGAGGCCCAGGAGTCCCCAGGACTCACCCTCTTCACCAGGAGACAGACGTGGTGGCCCTGGACGGAGCGGCTGTACATGGAGGCGCAGGAGTCCACTCGCTCCACAACTGCGACACAGCGGGCGGGTGAGGCCCTGCACCCCGAGCAGCGGTGCCTTCCCGGGGCTGCCCTCCCCGACAGCTGCCAGAGGCCCGGCGGGGGCAGGAGGTGGCCCTGTGCGGCCTGGGCAGTTGGGGAACAGGAGTCCAAGCGGGAGCTACCGGCCTCTGGGGCACAGGCACCCGCCACAGCGGATCCCACAGGGCGTGAGTCTCCGAATGAGGGCTGCAGGCCAAGCTCCAACGGAAAAGGGGCTGGCAGGGCTGGGGCTGGGGCCCGGCCAGGGGAGAACCGTGCGCGTAAATGCCGTGCCATCTACCAGCCTCCTCACTTTCTTACCGGAAAAGTGGTGGTGAAAACAGATCTTTGTCAGAAGGTTCTGGAAGGACATACTAATGCCGTCGACTCTGATTGAGCTCATGCTCAGGTCCCCAGACTCCAGCAACTTGGCAAAGGCATCGCTGTGGGAAGGACACGGGACAGGGAGGGGTGACACCAGGCAGGAGCCAGGCCCCTAGGATGCCCAGCACCAATGCAGACTGAACCCCGCCACAAATGCTGTGTGGCGGGACCCTCCTTTGTGTGCCTTGGACCCGAGAGGCCGTCATGGTTTCGGAAGGTGTTAATCAGATTTACAAGTCGAAGTCCCAACCCACAGAACCTCAGAATGGGGCTTTATTTAAAAACAGGTCTTTTTTTTTTTTTTTTTGAGACAGGGTCTCACTCTGTCACCCAGGCTGGAGTGCAGTGGTATCATCATAGCTCACTGCAGCCTCCAACTCCTGGGCTCAAGGGATCCTCCTGCCTCAGCCTCCCGAGTAGCTGGGACTACAGGGATGACGCACTGCCCAGGACTTGGAGACACATTTTTAAAGAGGTCATTACAAAAAATAACAAATGAGAGGACGTTAAGGTTACATTAGATCATGTGGGTGGGCCCTGATCCAAGACATCTGGAGTCCCTACACAGCAGATGAGAACACAGAGGAGACACACGTGAGGACGCAAGAAGAAGGCATTCACCCTGCCACACCTGACCTTGGACTTCCAGCCCCCAGGACTGTGAGAGACTAAAGCCCTGATGTCTAAGCGCCTGGTCTGTGGCCTTGGCTGCCCGAACAGGTGCAGACACAAGGCAGCCGGACCTGTCGCGCCGAGGACAAGCAGTGAAGGGAGTCTTTGTCCTCGACTTTCACAAGTTAGGTCAAAAGATGCCGCTGAGGCTGCCTCGGGGCCTGGGTGCAGGTTATCTCCACTGCGGAGGCGGCGCACCTGTAGCAGGGCGTCGTGGTCAAGTACGAGGAGCAGCTGAAGTGCAGCTTGAAGTCCAGCACAACCTCCATGTCTAAACAGCAGACGACGGTGGAGTTAAATTAACGCTCGGGCTTGGGTACAGTACACACGACACAGGAGTGGCGAGACACGT